TGAACCAAAGTGATTAAATTCAAACTAATGATCAACGTACGCTTGTCAAAAACGTCCAAACGTTTCTTTCTACATCTCGCTAATCGGCGAGTCAACATTTGTTGTCTGGCAATCGTACGAAACGCAATAGGGTCGATAGTTTGCGTCGTCGAGCCTTCCATATCATCCAAAGTAAGAGAATAACTATAACCAATAATACCAATAATGTGTTTGTCAAAATGAAAAAATCACGAAATATTGAAAAATAATGTCGAAATGGCGTGCGAGCAAACCACAACAGTGTGAATCAGTAATAATTATGAAAAAAAAATTTTCTCATCTTACTCAGATTTACTCACGTGAAAGTTTTATTCCCACCCAAAACTCCAATAATTTACGAAATCACGATTAGCAAACCAAATTATGTGCAAATGTGCATTTAAACAAATCAATACAGTTAATGCTCGATATTGACTTTAAAAATTACAATAAAAAAAATAATAATAATTGTAAAAAACCACTTGATAGCCTGTAACTCACCTCAGATCCATCTAGACGGTTACTCCCCCCCCCCTCCTCTCAAAAAAAAATCACTAAAAAAATAGTAAAACCACAAAGTAAAAAGGTGAATAAAATTCACCGGCTCGAACACTCCGTCATTTTCAATATCTCCACAACTGGATGAAAAAAAAAAATGTTTGGCAGGCCAACTCACACCCTGATCCTCTCGAATAAATCTCCAACAATGTTGACAATACAGTAATTACTCCATCAACTGGCACTTCAATCTCAAAACCCTATCTGATATGTACGAAATGTCGATGCACGAGAGTCGATTGAACAATGAAACTTGTCAGCCCCGATAATGAAAAAGCGCAATTAATAGAACACTAGCCTACATCCCATTTATCCTCACATTTCACTGTAACAATAATCCCTGAAATAAGTAAATAGTCCCTTCATTGGTAACTCCTTGAGTTTCTCTTCTAGTTAAAGCGACACGGTGCCGGTCGTGCCGTCTGGCCACACACGGGGGTTTAATCTCTCATCCGCGCGGCTTTTTTCCTCCCCTATCATGGCGTCTACCTAACGCGTTCAACAATTCCCCGTATCAACCCCTATTCATCCCCCCACTAGTCCACCGCGTTATTCTAGTTGCGCGCGTCTTTTACACAACTAAACTGTCGCGCACACTTCGTACTTGCTCTCCCACCCCTTCATCTCCCCTTCGTCTCCCCTTCATCTCCCCTTCGTCTCCCCTTCATCTCCCCTTCATCTCATTTTCCTCACCCTCTTCCACTCCCTACCATACTCCCACCCCTTTCTCCCCTTCCTCCCCTTGTCAATCCCATATCACTCCTCACCCCCTTTCCCTTTTTATCCCCCTATTCTCTCCATCTTGCTCTCCACCACCCCTCCTACCCTTCGTCAGAATTGACTGTACCAACTTCCGTCCATGCTTGTGCAGTTGGTACCCGCGCACTTTAGCATTTCGTATTTAACAAAGATGTTGGTATCTCTGTGTAGATTTTTCACAGGGAGTTTCAACCCCCCTCTCACCCACATATTGACGTGATCCCCCACTCTTTTCACTTTGGCAACCCCTACTCTTTGAAGTAAGGGTCGACCTCCCTTATGCCACCCTAAATCACCCTCGCCCACCCTTGTGCATAAACTA